TGGGGGGGGGGGGGGTTGAAACGAAGCAAAAATGCTTAGTTTAATCGAAATCACAGAATGAATCGGATTGTCGCTAAATCACATTTTGCTCTAATGTTGTAACTAGCTCAATTGAAATACAAACTAACTAACTAATTTACGTAAAAATGTTGCATTGTTTACTGAACCATCAATCATCGAAAAAACTCAATAGGTTCACCCAATAACATTGCCATTTAATATCCCTGACGTTTACGAGAGAACTGTTCACAAACGGCAACAGATCCCTGCTTTTTCTACACCAGGTTATATAATACATACATAAATAACCCTAAAACAACTTCATCATATAAAAAAACGCATCGAAATATCAATCAAATCACAAATTTCACAAAAAGACAAATCTTTGTACATAATTATATACTCAAAACCAGCAATTGGATAAGAAATTACACCGAAAACAAATAAAAATGCTACTAAAAAATAAAATTAAAAAAAAAAAGTGTACCTTGAAATGAACCCTAAGATCGGATCCCTGAGCCTTGCAGGCTGCAAAAAATATAATAATTTTACAGTGAGCATAAAAATTCTTCAAAAATAAAATAAAATGTAATTGGTTAAGAAGAAGAGTGAATTACATTTGGTGATATTGTCGGGTTCTCTTGAGTATTTCACCTGATTGAAAAATAAACAAAAAATTGAATATTTAAATTATGATAATATGCATACAGTTCACATGTATCTACATCCGATTTTCGTGAGCGGGATAGATAAAAAAGAGGGAGACGAGTGAATTACCATTGTCGCAGCTGCTTTGGCGGCGCGGCGGAGAAACTGGTCTCCGGTTAGGGTTTTCGATTTAAGCAGCAGAGCTTCACTGAAATGTTTTGCCTGCTTTTATATATAATGAATAATATGTATGTAAGTCAAGCAAAACCCTAAAAAACATCTTTAGTGGATAATAATATGGGCTGGTTTTGTTCCGGGCTGGGCTTTTGGGGCCAATATTTATGGGTGCGGTGCCCAAAAAAGGAAATAGCTTAAAATCTAATTAGAAAATATAGCTTGTATTTTTAACATAATATATAAAGGTTATTATTGGACAATAAAAAAAAGCTGAAAAATAAGAATAGGAGCAAGTAGGGGCGGTAAACGAGTTGAGCCGAATCGTGAATTCAATGAGACAATTTGAAAAAAGATCGAACTCAAAATCGAGTTTTTGAGCTTTAACGAACCAAATTTGAGCGTTTTCTTAGTTCGTGAACTCACGAGCCGGCTCTTGCCTACTTTTTATTTATTTATTTATTTTATATATTATTTTTTACTTAAATAATATATAAAATAAAATGGATATAATAATAATAATAATAATAATAATAATAATAATAATAATAATAACTAATAATATAATAATAATAATAATAATAATAATAATAATAATAATAATAATAATAATAATAATAATAATAATATAATAATAATATAAATATATTAATATTAATATTAATAATATAATAATAATAATAATAATAATAATACTGTAAAAAGAACACATAAATTAATATATATTATACAATATTTTCTTTAAAGTTCTTTATTTTATAATATTTTTATTATAATATAAATAGTTTTAATAATAAAAAAAATCAAGATGAGCTTGGGCTCAAGTTCGAGCTCATCAAAATGGCTAGGGCTCGAGCTCAAAAAGCAAAAAAAAAAAAAATACTCAATAAGCTCGAGCTTGAGCTCGAGACCTAGACAACTAAGCTCGGCTCGTCCATACCCCTAGGAGCAAGTCAATGTCTTCATTTACGACTCCTCATATTTTTTTATTTTTTTTTTGTAATGAAGGAACCCCGTTGCCAACTATATGTGTGCACGCACTGGTTAAATCTACACTCTCGTATAATAAATTGCAAGCCATACGAAAGACGTAAATCACACTAGACTAACCATGTGTGACAAGCTCGACTTAGCGATCGTTGGCACATGGATTCAAATTTGGGTCAATTAACACAGACTCGCTTGCTTTAACTGCTAGAACATCCCATGCGGGACCAATAGAAAAAGTGTATAATCCCATTCGATTTATGAATTACTGCACGAACATGCGTAGGGTCTAACCACAACACTTCAAATGACTGTGAATTCACTTGTAAAAGTTAATTTGACAATAACAAAGTGAACCATAGTTTAAAAAGGATACATGTTGATAAGTGTTCATTTTGCATGATTTTCACTTATCAATTCTTCGAGTTTTGGTCTTCGTTCGTCCGAGTTTTCGGCTTTATTTGTATATATTATGTTGTTTTTGTTTTATTTATATTTAGGTAAAGATAAGCTATTTTTACCGATTCGAGACGATTTTGGAAGCGAAGCCGAGAATCAAACCAAACACGTGCAAAAGTGCATTCTCGCGGATTGTGGCAGTGTTTGGTATTTCAAGCATAATTTTTTCATACGACCTCCGATTGGGCTGATTCAAGTGTATCTAGAAAGCTAACTTCAAGGGCTACAACTTTTGTGAAACGCACAATTGTCGAATTCGGGCTGAAAAAGGGTGAAAAAAGTGTTTGAAGTTGATGCAGAGGCCAGATCGCAATCCAGAATCACCGGATCGCGATCTGATGGCAAATTCCAGTAGCAGCGAAAAGTTGGGGCAGATCGCGATCCGCACTTCCTGGATCGCGATCTGGGAAGGCGGTGCGCAGTTTTCGAGGTTGCCAGATCGCGATCCAAGAAGCCCAGATCGCGATCTGGGCACAAAAATCGAGACTAGATATTTTTCTTTGATTTCTCACTATAAAATATAAATAGAAGGTCTCTTTTTCATTTTTCAATCTCGATAACCTCTCGACCATATCTCGACCTTTTCTTCGGTTCTCGCCAATTCTTCGCGGGAAGCTTCGACGAGGGTTTCGACTCGGGTTTTTCATAAGCTTTTTCTTTAGGTTTAGTTTATGATTTCTCGTGTTCTTCATTTGGATGCTATGTTTGTAATGAACTGAGCATTTTCTTTTAGGGAAATGAAACCTTGTATATATTGATTTTGATTTCCAGATCTGTGATCTATTTGTCGTTCTTTGATTCTGTTTATGTTTTCCTGTATTAAATGCTTTCGATTGTTTGACCAACAATTGAATTGATTCTAAATGGGAATGGACTCGAGAGAGGATTTCTCGTTTGATTTTAGGAGAACATAGCTCGGGTTGTGGAAACGGAGACGTGATGCACATCGGGTAGCCCTTAAGGACTTGACCTAAATGCTCTCTTAATATCAGGTTCTCAACGGAGACGTCGGACCTGTGGGTAGACTCTAACTACACTGGAGACGGGGGTTAGGGTATTTTAGTGTCTGGGTTAGCGAACATAGAATTGACAATAGATTCGGATTTGTAGACCTTTATCGATAGTACACTGGTGGATTTTACCCTAGAAGCCATCACACGTCGGAATTCCTTGCTTGTACTGGTGGACCGGTGTTTTTATTTTTGTTTCCTTTTGGCGTCATTTCATCCCCATCCCTTCGTCTGTCTAAATAAAGTTTAGGATAGTATAATTACGGTACTTGGTAAATTTAGAAACTTAATTCCCTGTGGATCGATATCTGGAATTCACTATTCTACAAAACGCGATACTGTACACTTGCGGTTTTTCATATGTAGGTTTTACGCGTATCACATGTGAGATTCAAGTCGAAATCAATTCTAATAAAAAAATTCCAACTAGAATTTAATGATGAAAACAAGACCATAGGGTATAAGAAAGAGACAAATAATCAAGTTATTTTCTTAACAGAAAATGATTAGATATTCACTACTGTTACTCTAAAGTTAAGAATTTGTTACAAGGAGTATTAGTCGATCTAATTAAGGTTTCAGTTAGATAACTAAATATAAGATCAATCAAAAAAAAAATAAAAAATTGGAGCACCTGATCTTAATAAAATCTTGACCAAAACACAATCAACTTTATTACTCTACTAATGAATTGGAAACACGAAGCAACCGAAAAACCAAAAGTAGAAATACAACGTAACCTTCGGAAATTATAAGCTAATATAATGGCACGTTACGCAGTACTATTAGCTAGACTCGCAATTTGTCGAAACCCCTCAATAGTTTATTTATTCAATAACAAAAAAAGAAAGTCGAGAGCGCAAAATTAAAGGAAAAATAAGAAAATGGCCGCGAATAATCCCACGAAAACGAAGAAGCTATTAGCGATTTTGGCTGCATCGCTGCTGTTGGTGTTGCTGCTCGTTGAAGAAGTTGTTTTAGTACTATCCGAAGATGAAGGCGATTTTGGAGTGGTCGTAGAATCGGAATTGTTGGGCGAGTTCGTCGTTGCGGCTGCAGTGCTTGAATCTGCGCTTGCTACGTTGAAAATCTTCGCATTCGGTGAATCTGCTGCCAGCTTCAGTAAAGCTGAAAATAAAATAAATTTGATGTAATTAGTGTGATCGATATTAATTAATAATGGAAATTTAACCTCGAGAAAAAAAGTGAAATATGTGTAGGTAATTTTGTAAATAGAGTGAAGAATGAAAACCATATTTGAGTTCATTAGTATATTTAGATATTTCCTTGGCAGATTTAGTGTATATAATAAATAATAAAATGAAATGCATAGATTTATTGAATTTTAGTATAACTAGAAAAGTACAGTTAAACCTTTATAAATTAATTAATACAGTTGGGACTATTAAAATTTTGTTAATTTAGTGAAATATTAAATTATGAAATTAATTATTTAACACATTGTCACTGAGTCCGGACCGAGAGAACTTATTATTTAATCGAAGTTATTATAATATCGATTATTAATTTATTGAGGTTCTACTGTACCTATATACCTATAATACATAAGCCCTTTTTTTTAGTATGCACCACATGAACTAAAAATGCGACATAATGCGTGTGTAAATTTACGGTAGTATGTTATCGGTTTAGCATCTACATTACTACATTATTGATTTTACGATGTTATAAAAGATTAAATAAAAATATATGTCAAATTAAAAAAGAAAATTCCGATCGAGAATAAATTAACGAAAACAAATAAGAATACATTACATGGACAATCGGAGACTTTAGCCTCGATTTTGCAGGCGGTCGGCATTTGCAGAGCCAGGGTGGTGTTGATAGGGAGGCCTATGGATGGATCAGTGCTCTCTATAATGAGCACACACAAGCATTTCGGCTTAGCGGCCCTCACTTTGTTTGTGTTATCGCAGCAATCTTTCGTCGGCTGTTTGGCGGTGCCGCTAACGAACGGAATGCATGCCGCTAGGTTCGTCAGCTCCTCCGCGCAGTCCTTCTCGTCATCCTCCATGGACCCTACCGCAGATGTTATTGTCCACATCACAACAAGTGCAATGCAGATTGCTGATAGATGCTTTCTTGTGATTTTTTCCATTTTTTTGTTTTATTATTATTATTATTATTATTATTATTATTATTATTATTATTATTATTATTATTATTATTTATTTTTATTTTTTTAGATATGTATTTGTGGTGAGATATTGTTGAGATGGTTTTTTTAGAAGGGTATTTATAAAGATTGATTTTTTTGGGTATTTATTGTATTTCCATACCTGATATTTAATGACCAAAGTAGGGAATGCTGAGGTTGAATTTTTAATAATTAATTTGTAGTCCCCATACATGCACTAATTAATATGTGGGGTTTGGATTCTTAACCATGACACTATATACGTAAGAAACCAGACATTTATTATTTTATTATTTTAAGAGTGAAGTATATATATATTTTTTTATCTTTTTACTTTAAATAAAGATGTTAGCAGCCAATCATATAGGTACTTTGGTTGAATATAAGAGTGAAGTATACATAATTATTTGTATTTGAGTGGAGATGGGAGGTATATATTTATAAATGTCATGAAAATTCAGCTTTAAGTATTTTTTTATAGGATGACGAGTGACGGAGTCAGCATAGGGTCAAAGGGGGCATGGCCCCCCTAACTATTCTCAAATTCTTATTTTTTATGTAGTTTTTTTTTTAAATACACGTATACTTGACATTATCAGCTCTCCTTATAATTTTTTTTAATGCATTCAAGCCTTGTAAACTTAAAATCTTTACTTCACTAGTGAGGTTGATGTATGTTAGCAAAAGAAATTGTAATTAATAATTTCAGTATATTTTTTGTGAACTATTACAAGTGGTTTGGAATTAAAGTTCAAAATAAACCTATTTTAAGGGAATAAAAAACAAAACTTGCATGCATTTTAAAACACATTAACTTATAAAATAATGTGTTTATATAGTTGATTTTTTTAAAATATCTGCAAACATTCTTGACTTTCATAAATTATTATTTTAGTCTTAATTAGATTATTGTTAACTCCTACTTTTTACTAAAAAAGTTTGTAAGCACCGTCTTAGGCTTTGTTTGATAACGTTAAGCACTGAACACTGAATGTTGAATACATAACTGAATGATTAAAATGAACGTCTGATCATTAAATGCATAACGTTTAAGTTTATTTGATAATTGAAAAAGCTATTGCATCTGAATAATATAATTTTACTATATTAATCCTCATAATTGTTAAACATATATTTATTTACTAACAAAATTATTAACTATGTCAGCTGTAATTATTACATTATATTTCGTTTCACGAAATTTATCTAAATTATACATTTATTACATATAAAAAATAAAACTTTCAACATAAATTCTAATCCGTCATTGTAAATAACTAATTTCTGTAACAAAGTGAAAATGAAAAATAAATAAATTCCAATATTTCAGTAGTGGAAGAACCAAATTGTGGCTAATCATATTTTTATTATAAAATAATATAATGAATCAAAAGCAAATTACATAAACAAATTTTGAAATATCTGGCAAACTATTAACAAGGCCACCGCTTTGTGCTGTCGTAAAAAAGTCCACCACTTTCAACAAATTTTAGGAATAATTTTGTCTAAATTATATTCATTTCAATTCAGCCATCCACTGAACGAATAAGACTCAATTTTTCGGCTGAATCGGTCAGCAGTAATTGCTTCCATTCAGAGTTAGGTACCAAACAAACTGAATGCTTCTATCTGACCAAATACGAGTTTAAATTGCATTAAGAGGTCATTAAGAGGAATCAAACAAGGCCTTAGTGTCAAATCACGTTCAGAGAAAACTATTTTGAAAGAAGAATTTGTGCGCTAAAATAGTTTTCAATGTGACGTTAAGCAATGTCCGAACACTTTAACACATTTGACCGTTGACTTTTAAAATTCTATATTTATTCTTATCAAATATTGAATAAATTAATTATCTTCTATTTAGGTTAGGTGTACTTATATATAAACCCGTAGTATATAAAAAAAAATTCCCTTAATGTTAAATTATAAATAGAAATTGAATTTAAACTCATTAAATCATATGCATATTCTTACTAAAATATCTTTAATTGAAAAAACAAAGAAAACTAATTTATACATACACTCTTGTAAACACAATAAATGCACATAGCAAAAAAAAAAATGGAGATGTTGAATCAAATAAATGCATGTTGATAAAAAGATGAGTATTGAATAAATATTATGCTTTGAGAAATCCAATTCCATCTTCCAAGGATGGATGAGATCATAAATTATAATTCATCTTCTCAAGGAGGCCCATTCTCATTTCTTTTGTAATTTTATTTTTTTTAATTACTCCCTTGGTTTAGCAATTAGCATACTTATTAAAATAAAATTATAAACTACTAAATATGTATTTTAAATACAAAAAATTATATGATATGAGTAAATAATGTCTCTCCCACTAATTTTATTGTCAATTAATTATTTCTTTGTTTGTAAAAATTCATATTTGAAAAAAAGAAGTAATTAATATATCTTTAGAATTTTAAAGTGACAAATAATACTAATTATTTATTTTCTTCAAAAAGAAAATTATTATTTTGAAATTACTGGACCATATATCATTCAGCAAATGCGGTTAATTATGTTAATACATTACTGCGGATTAGGGTTGTGACTATGTTGGATCGGTCGATTACCAGTTTAAAAACTGACCTATCCGTCAAATCATTTTTGTTCAAATTGGAAAACCGTTGCCGACCCAACCTTTGTGGGTCGGTTGATGGTTGACAACCGAATATTTGGTTCCGGATTGGATCGGTTGATGGTTTATACCCGCAACATAGTTCACTTCAAAAATAAAATCAAATTTTGGATTAAAAGTATCCGCATTATGCGTAATGCCACGGTGCGATCAGTTCAAAATAATTAATAACATTTTAACGAAAAAATATAATTAGAAAATTAGTAATTTCAAACATGGACAAGAGATTTAGTGAAGTTTTATTTAAGTTTGAGCATAAAGAAACTGGTGGAAGATTTATCAATTTTTTTTCCTTTGTTGATTGTTTTTAAAATTTAAAATACTTATTATTTTGACAATTTCAATAACCACTTAACAAAACACGGCCTTTATTTTATATTTTTAATAAAATTTTAATAATTTTGTTGGATGACCTATAATTATCGGTCAACCAACTTTTGATAATATTAGAAACCACCAACCAACCCATTATAGATGGGTTGATTGAATTTTTCGACCCGATCCAATGGATCGGTTAAAATTTGATTATCTGCCTAAAATATGATTGGTAATGAGTCGGTTGATCGATAAAAACCAACCCAATACTGGCCCTACTATGAATTATATATCACTATTAATTATTATTAATGTATATAATATATAAAGCCAAGATAAACAATTGAAGTTTTCCATCTCTCATTTTCACCGCACACTTTTCTAATTTCTTTCAAATTCAGTTTTCTTTCCTCTTATAGTTTTACATAGATCAATATTTTTTGTTCCAATATCTTCAATTATAGTTTTATACTATCATTTTTTTTTGAATGACATTTTAATCTTAAATTTGACTTTCGTGCGTGCACGGGTGATATACTAGTTAGCTATATTTGTCTTACCATTCTATATTGTTTTTGGTTTTTCCTTTAACAGTCTTGGTATCGCTACTGCAATTTAACTGAAAAATAATTCCAAATGATGCAACGAGAACAACAAAAATTGATCACTCATTGATTCAACAAAATTTGAAGTAACTAGCAAATGTAATACTATGCATATATTTACAAAAATTCAATCGTAATGTTTGATGTACTCGGAATTTGAGCGCTTACGTTTCGACTTGTAGCCCTTGTTTGTTGGGAGACAATTGTCAAATTACCGTAAGTAGCATAACGGGACAATATCATCTCAAGAAAAGAGTTTACAGCCTTCAACTAAATTCATCGTATTTTCACAAACTATTTTGTTCGACCATTTTGTTATATTCACTTCCCATTTTTATACACCGCAAACAACATACGCGCATTCGGTATGAGTGGATTTTGTGCGGTTGGACTACCAAACCCAGATATCATTACTATTACTGGAATGTTGATATTGTAAAATCACTATCATTGATTCGTCAAAATTTTGGGCATACAAAATTTGGTATGGTACGATGTTGTAATGATTATTACCAATTTATTTTTACTACTATTAGTATCACTAAATTTTTTTTTTCATAGTAATTCAAAGAATAAGTATTTTTCAAATGTTAAAAAATGGAGTAGTTTTTAAGACATTAATGTTCTTATCTATGTTATTAATTTATGTAATATAAATATTCATAAAAATAAAATTTATAATATAAAACTATTCATAACACAAATTAATGACGTTGTTGATAGTAGATTTAATATATATATGAGTAACCCTTAGTAAATGACACCTTATTTTTATTTTTTTTTAAATATCCATACTATAAATCAAAAAAATGTTTAAATTTTGAATGGATAATTGTCTTGAAGAGGTATTAGTCGGGCCGTTGCCAAGCGATAATAATCTGACGATTGAGGAAGCCTGGCCCCAACTTGAGGATCTACTGCCAATTATTCCACAAGAACGGCATGAAAAGATGAAGACGATTACTTTGGATGTGTATAAACCGGATCGTTTGATTTTTACCCTCACTCAATCTGGTGAATTATCGAGCAAGGAATATTGGCGCAACATTAACGTGCCACGTGGGCGCGTCTCGTGGACAACTCGTATTTGGCAGCGTTACTTACCACATCGAACTATTGGATTTTTATGGAAGTTAATTCATCATGCATTGCCGGTTCATCAAAGAATAATTTTTGCCGGTTGATAAAAGAATAATTTCTAGGGGTATTCCACTGGCTCAGAGGTCGCGGTACAAGTTCCGAAGCATTTTGGCTCCCTTTTCCAAGTCCAAGATCGGTTTGAGTCGGCCAAACATGCATTGTGCGTTTGGGTCCCACGGCAGTCGGATCGCTCTTTATGCGATGATTAGGAATTCGACGGTATGTCATGTTTTTCATGAAATTTGGAATGCTCGGTGTCGAGTGATATATGTTGTTGGTGATATGTCAAGTGTTGATATTCTTCGTAAGATTTACTATCATATGCAGAACTTTGTGGCTTTGCATAGTCCCAGGTAATCTTCTACCAAGATCCAAAGCGTTCGTATTCAGGCCGATGGCCTTCCAGTGGTGCAACCGCCTCATAAACGGGAGACATGACATAAATGTGAATTTTGCTCCGGCAGTAACTTATACTCTTAATACAGATCGTTCGGCAAAAGGTAGGATTTGTTCGGGAGACGGTATTATTAGAGATCCGAGGGGGAATATTGTTGTTGGGTATTCTTTGTTCTTTGGGCATGGCACAATCAACTTTGCTGAATTATTTGCTATAGTTTACTGCCTAAGAATGTGTCGGCATTTGGGGATCCTTCATCTTACGGTGGAGAATGATTCATTGTTGGCTATTAGTGCAATTTAAACCAAGGTCGTTGGAATATGTTCATCAGCTTTGTTTGCAGGAAATGGATTCTTCTTTTCAATTAAAGCATGTAGTTCGTCAAAAGAACACGGTGGCGGATTGCTTGGCTAATTGGGCGTATAATAACCAATCAAGTCAAGAATATTTTACCGAAAGTAGTCTCCCGGTGGAGGCCCGAGCTGTTTTTATCAGTGATATATTGGGGATTGCTAATACCGGGAGGCCCGAGCTGTTTTTATCAGTGATATGTTGGGGATTGCTAATTTTTGCCCCTGACTCTACTGATGATTTGGAGTTTGTTTTCTCAATTAATTATGGGGTCGAATTGCAATTTTTTAATTGTTGAGAAGGGGCAAGAGTCTGCGTATGGTTCTTGTGTGTATTTGCACTTTCACCCCACCTGGGTTCCTTCAGCAATTTTCGAAGACTTACCTTCTTAGGCACAGTAGATTTTGTTTCTTTCTTTTTTAGCCCTTTTCTTTTGGGCCTTTGTTTCTTTCTTTTTTAGCCCTTTTTTTTGGGCCTTACTGTAATAGATTCTATAGGAATTTGACTATCCCATTTTTTTATTCCTTTCCGTTTGTAGTGGTACTATTTTCCTTGTGTAGGCTTACACGGTTTTAACGAGGTTTCCTTGTATTTTTACAAGTATTTAATGGAATTAAAACTTTTCGGTATGGTACATTAAGATACAGTAATTTACTACCATTCGATAAGGGAAAAAAAAATAATCAGTGCAAGTTGGTATGATTAAATTACGCAATAAGGGAGCTCGATAAAAAGTCGATATGCATTGAACCTGACCGGCCTAATTTTAGGTTCACCGCTAAACCGATCGGACGACCGATCGAGGTTGGTAAAACACTAATTTTTAAACCAACATTAGATTAGTAAATCATGATTAAATTGTAAATTGAAATATCACTCGATAAACACTAATCAATGTACTAATAACAATTTAGACATAATAATTTGGTATTAAACAAAACCTATATAAATTCAAAATTCCAAAATCCAGAAACAAGAGCAATTTTACACTCTACAGTACACTGCCCTTTTCCTCCGGATCCACTCTTCTCCTTCCATTTTTCCCAATTCTCTCTCTCCTCTCTCTCTCTCTCTCTCTCTCTCTCTCTCTCTCTCTCACACACACACACACACACACACACACACAGTGACAAAAACCTCACAATTGAATGAAGAAATCGATAAACAGGACTCTCATTTGCTTCTCGTTATGCATTCCTCTACTCCTCCGGAAGCAGCACAGCGTTGAGTACTGGATGATGGCGTCGCTTCTGCACGAGGGGAACGGTTCCGGGCTGACTCGGGAGGCCGTTCGAGTTACCGATCCGGATTCGGCGGAGGTTTTTTTCGTCCCGTTCTTTTCGTCGCTTAGTTTCAATGTTCATGTTCGGAATATGGCGGAGTTGAATACCGTTGACGAGAAGTTGCAGGTGCGGTTTTACTTTTTTTTTTTGTTAAATATTTTTTTCTTTCGTCAAGGTTAATTTATGAATATACCGAATTGTTCGTTCTGTTGACTCTTTTTCTTCTCTTAGATAGTGTTTGAAATTGTGATTGTGGTTGTGATTGCAGCATTTGTTAAATTGAATTTTATATTATTAACGAGACTCAGTCATGATGCCAGTTTAAGATACGTTTCGTTTATCAGTGGTGAATCTTTATATGCTTATTAGCAATGCTTGTAGGGTTGATTTTCTCCCCCTTTTCAATTTCCGTTTAGTATGTAGGCAGCTCGGATTAGCTCTGTTCGAATCTGGTGTTTCATATATATAATAGGTGTCAATCCCACACATTTTAAGATACAAATAAAACTACATTAGATGATCTGTATTGGTTTAGAGGTTGCAGTTTTACCAAGTCTTAAATTTTCTTGAATTAATATATCAACGTTCAACGAGGGAGGGGTATGTTATGAAGTTTATTCCATTGGTGATGAATTTCGGCACATCTAAAGTCACTTTTGGGCTCTCAAATTCACTTGTTGGTAATAACATAATCCGGAGATGACGCTTGAAATTTCGGACCAGCAATATCAGACAATCTTTCTTTCATATTTTGTGATTTTCTTGAAAACAAAGAAAAATTAAGTTAGCTCAGAATCGTTCAAATTGTGTCGAGAATGTTTAAGGACATGAATAATGACTCAATTCGATCATTTATCTTTCTGGGGCTGATAGATGCAGGGAAATTGTTTCAGGTTTTAATAAGTTTGTCATTTTGAATTATTTGGAAACGGAGTCCTTCCCCTTTGTTTAAGGTCTAAGGATTTGGTAACGGGAACTGAAGAAATAGAACATTTCATTGTTGTGAACTTAACTCATTTGTTGCCACTTTTCCCTAATGGAGATATCTGTGTATGGGCTTTTTGGAAGTAAACTTTTCTTTCATGATTGAATTATATTTATTGTATTTGTTTGAAAATTGAACTTTTACGTAGGGATTCTAACTAGCACAAGATTCCTGGTAATTTTGATGATTTAATTTGGTATATCGAGTTGTTGTAACTAATTCGGTTTTCTCTTAGGAGCTTAGTGAACATCTTACTAGACATTCGGTTGGACTGGTTCAGATGTTTTAATTACTTTGTTGTCGTTTGGTTTGTTAATGGGTGAATCTTCTGAAACCGGATTTCTCTACCTGTCAACTCTTAACCTGAAACATGATACGCACATGATACATTTTTATAGGATTATTTTGAAACATAAGATTGAGCACTGAGTGAATTGATCTTGTTTTATGCACTGCTTTATTTGTCTATAAACCACAGTGGTGATGAGCTATGTTTGCCGGTACCTTTGCTACTCATGCATTGTAAAAACTTTTACATGTTTCATTTGCCGCATTGTAAATGAATATTTGTATTTATCTACAAATTCTTGTTTTCTTGAGCTCCCTTTCCCATCTGTATTTGATTTAATTACCAACTATTAAATTATTTTATGTTTATCGCTTAAAATTTCAACCCTTGCTGTCATTTTATGGAGCTGATAATCATTGCTTCTAACTATACAGCTAGAGATGATAAATATATTAAAAGCATCGGATTATTGGAAAAAGTCTGGAGGACGAGACCATGTTATTCCCATGCACCATCCAAATGCTTTCAGACATTACCGAGATGAAGTTAACGCCTCCATATTCATCGTTGCTGACTTTGGCCGAATAATGAACATTTCCAAATTGGCAAAAGACGTAGTTGCCCCTTACCCTCACATGGTAGAGTCATATATCGCTGAAGAAGAAAACCATGTGGACCCTTACAAGTCTCGTCAGACGCTTCTTGTCTTCCGAGGGAGGACTAAGAGGAAAGATGTAAGCCAACCGAAACACAACCTTTTCATATTCATCAAAATAATAAAATACTTTTTTTTTCGTGTATTTTTAATTTTTTATATACTTAATTAATCTACTGAAGCACATGTTTCTCACATGCTGATCTGGCAGGAGGGCAAAATCCGTGCTCAGCTACATAAAATGTTAAATGACACGAAAGATGTCATATACGAGGAGGGTGCTGCATCGGAAGAAGGCTTTAAAGCTGTAAGTATTTCAGACTCGAAGATGAAATTATTAATTAGTCAATAATGATAAGATAATTGCGCAATTAGGCTCTAATTTTTTTTGTTTTTTTTCGTATACTTAGTCTGCCGAACAAATGCGTTCGTCAAAGTTCTGTCTCCATCCAGCAGGCGACACTCCATCATCTTGTCGTCTGTTCGATGCTATAGTGAGCCACTGCATACCCGTTATCGTGAGCGACAGATTAGAGCTACCGTTCGAGAGCGAAATAGACTACAAAGAATTCTCGATGTTCTTCTCGGTGAACGAAGCACTTCAACCTGGCTACTTGATCGACAAGCTGAGGGCAGTTTCGGAAGATCAATGGCTCAAAATGTGGTCGCGAGTTAAAAGCATTACCCACCATTTCGAGTTCCAATATCCCCCGAAGGATGAAGATGCAGTCAATATGATTTGGAGACAGGTGAAGCACAAGGTACCTGCGGTTAAGCTTGCTGTACACCGGAGTAGGAGGCTGAAAATACCCGATTGGTGGAGGTAATATACCGATGTTTTTGTTACAGTGAGTTTATACGTTTTTCTACGTTCGATTCTTTTGGACAGCCCCTCTTAAATTTGAATAAGATGCTATAGATAGTTACAGTGTACTGAATTGTATAGTTGATAAACTCTCTCCTGCCAGGAGTTTTGTACTTTGTACAATACAAGTATATAGATTGATGTTGTTGACATTTAAATTTCCGCCATACAACACGAGTTGTTTAGTTTCTTAAAATTAATGTGAAATTACCAATAGGCCCCTAGTTGACTACTTATTAACAAATAGGTCCAGACAAAAAACTTCTTTACCCTAAAGAGTGGAAATATGATTTTCTTTTGCCTAAAGATCCATCAAAGACAAAATTATGCTGTTGACCGGTCAAGACAATAATACAATTTTTTTAGGGCCCATTTGGTTACCGCTATAAGGTGTTACTGACTAAATAGTAGAGGTTAATACCATGTCCGGTTGGTAAGATTCATATTATATTTTATTATTGTAGACTAAATGGTTTTATAGACAATTCATATTTAACAACTGATTTTAACAAATTTAATAGAAAATCTAATCTAAGAAACCGAACATGCTACTAACTAAATAATTAATTAGTCAGTAGGGAGTTAATACAATCTCATGTAATCCAATCTAATCCAATATAGGTAACCAAACGAGCCCTTATATTAATATTTCAGTATGTGACTGGTTAACATAGTAATAGTATTGCTTAGCATAGTATAATACATATTTACTTTGATTGTATTGACCGGTCAACACAACTTCTTCTTTATGAAAATAATAAATAGAATAATATTATTGTGTTACACAGTAATAACAATATGATCAACGTAGAAAAAGAATATTAAGTTTAAAAAATGTTATTGTGTAACATAGTGATATCATTGTGTTAGACAACAATATTTTTGCATTGAGCGATAAAAAATAGTATATTAATATTATTGTGTAATAGAATATTATTATTGTATAGACATAACAACAGAGTGAAAAAATAAAATAAAAAAATCAACGCTGTTGATCGGTTGTACTGCAGCAGCAATCAAAAGCGATGTCGAAACTGAATTGTTGGCAAAACTAAGAAATTGGTGAAATTGAGGTTAAACTCAGATTTGTGTGTGGTTAAAGGTTTGTATGCAAGTTCTTGAGTCCCGTACGTAATAACCCTTACTAAAAAGTCAATTCGAAGTATTTTAAATAAAACGAGAATATTTTCATTGTATATAAACAAGGGTTAAGTGTACTTTGCACCCCCGTACTTTGACCCGTTTTTCACTTTGCCCTCAAACGAAAAAAAAAAAATTGCACGATCATACCTGGACTTCCTAATTCGTTCCACCGATTACTTAAAAGCCATTTTTGGGCTAAAAAACTTCCGGAGTTGCACATATGCGATACACACGTGAGAATGAAGGGACAATTTTGCCAATTGGGTTGTAGAAAAAAAAAAGGGAAATAATTTACCCAACCATCTTCTCCAACTTCCCGTCTCACAAATCAGAAACAAAAATATAAATAATTTTTTTCGTTATAATGACAACAAAATGAGTACACGACGCAATTACAGTTGTTAAGCTTATCTTGTTATGATACATGTTTCCTAAAATATTTACAAATTACATTTGATGATGCTAAAGTTAGATCACCTTAGAGAGTTGAATTATGATGAGTTGGAAGAGCATAGTGGATCACTGGCTCACGAGCTTGATGACCTTGAGATACCTGCGATCATAGAACACGTAAGCTAAGCCGGGGGTTGATCCGACGGAAACCCCTTCGAAGCTCAAGTCAGACGTGCTGATCATAGAAATAGTCCAGAGAATACAGTTAATAGTATTGCTCAGTTAATAGGACGTACCCGAAAGAATGAGTTCAAACCTTTATTTATAGCTTAGTTGAGATTGTCGGGCCCAAACCTTACTTGAAGGTGATTGGGCCTCGGTGATAGTGGTCTTCGATATTGGGCTCATGGCCCAGTAGGTAAATAATTTGTAGGCCCATTGGGTTGGACCAATTAGGCATAGCATTAAGCCCCCCACTCTTGAGTCGATGTGGGGGCCATGTTGAAATGGGTGTCAGATCGTATCGAGAGTAAAAAATGTAGAAGTCGATCGTTAGCGTATGGCCTAATAGTGTGCGAAAACTCGTTGGAGTGTGTGTCAGAGGGGCGTGAAGGCGCGTTGGCGCGTAGCGCGACCAAGCTGTCGCGATATAAGTTATTTGAGTCGTCGGTGTTGTCCCGCGGCGATGTAGTAGCTCGGATCAAGTTATCTCCTCGTGGGAGTTGTCTCTTCGCGGGGTAATCGAGTTGATCGAGTTTGCTCCTCGTGGGAGTTGTTATTTATCGACATTGTCAATGTTTTGACGCGTTGCTTGTCGTGGGAGTTGTTATT